TATTTTATTTTATTTTTTTAAGATTTTATTTATTTATTTGACAGAGAGAGACACAGCGAGAGAGGGAACACAAGCAGGGGGAGGGGGAGAGGGAGAGGGAGAAGCAGGCCCCCCATGGAGCAGGGAGCCCGATGCGGGGCTCAATTCCAGAACCCTGGGATCACGACCTGAGCCGAAGGCAGACGCTTAACGACTGAGCCACCCAGGCGCCCCGGGTCAGTAGTTTGGAGAAAGCTGGTCTAATACTTGACTTTTTAGGGGAGTAAACCCTAAAAGAGACAAAAGATGGCAGAGAAAGGGGATCTTACAGGAGATGGACTGGGCCCTCTGCTCCTTCAAACCTACTGTGTGAGCCGTTCTTCAAATTTCTGATAATTTGGGGCCAGATACGCAAAGCCCAAGATAGAACATGTTCCCTAACTGAATTTTCGTGGATTAGACTTACATTCTCACTTTCATAAATATTCCAAAGATGTGTTCTTATAAAACTCTTTTTGCCCTAATCATTAAAGAAATTGTTTAGTACTGAAATAGGTTTTACATCACACATTTAATCAAAAACTGAGAAAGGCTGAAAACGTGTTCAACTCTATATCATTACATTTGTTTTAAAAGCATTACATTTGGATCTGTAATCAACACATGACTCACGAGGAGTACTTTATGAATCTCTCTAGACCTCCAGTCTTTGTATAATTGTCCCTTCCATCAACTGTGAATTTCCTTTGCCCGGAACAACTCCTGATGAAATTTGGGAAGAGAGAAACCTTGTCTCACCAGAAAAAAAAAAAAAAAAAAAATCCCAGGCCCTTATTGCCAAAAAACCTAAAAGACAGCCTCAGGGAGAAGGGCTACATTACAAATGATCTCCTTCAGTCCACACAGCGGCATACTCATCCTAGACTCAAAGTAAAGGCATATATATATATATATATATATATATGCATATTTTTTTAAGAATTATTTCCTTGCTTTCCCCTTAGCAGGTGCTTGCCTCCAAGTCTGTTTAGAGCCGAGCAGAGGAGGAGGAGAGGGGAGTGAGGATGTAAGCAAGGCCTGGTGGCAAAAGGAAGGTGCCCACAGACCGCCTCCCTGCCTCATGCCTTTAAGGAGGACGAGCCAAGGCCGGGGGCGCACTGGGGGAGGGAGAGCACAGACCACCCTGGGTGACACTTCAGTCACCTGGGGCGGGCCATCCCACATAGACTAGCAGAGGAGAGGCCTGCTCCTCCTGGCAACGCTTCAATCACCTTTAATAAACACCCTGGCACACACAGCACGCCGGGAAGCACAGACTAGAGAGTAAATGAAAGGGGAGACACCCGAGAACCTCCAGGTGCTGGGGAGAACCCTGGAATTTACCAGACTGTGGGCCAAGGGAAAGGCGTATCTTGTGAGGATCTCAAACATATCCCTTCTGCTGTGGCCTTCCTGTTTCAGCGCGAACCTCAGGTTTCTCATGTCCTGGGGAGGGGGGGAGCAGAGAAATTTGACAGTTCAGTCTTCAAATAAAGTGACATTCCTTAGCAAAAAAAAATCTCTTCAACTAAAGGAGTGGAAGATTCACTTACCTGAAAGGGCAGTTAATCTAGATTACTAAGAAAACCACTTTGTTTTGTGTGACATTTTGAAATATCCAGCTAAGAACACCTCAAAATACTCTCATCGTAGTCATGAGTGTAAAGACAAAGCAACCAGTGCTAAAGAGAAGACAGAGCTAAAGTCATTTTATAACAAGAAAAATCAAACCTTGCCTTGCACACCATCTACGGTGTCTCTTTACTTCAACCGGTTTCTGCAGTATTTTCCCTATAAAAGAGTATTTTATTCAGTTTTTTTTTTTAAAGATTTTATTTATTCATTTGAGAGGGAGAGAGACAGAGAAAGCACAAGCGGGGGAGAGACAGAAGGAGAGGGAGAAGCAGACCCGACGTGGGGCTCGATCCCAGGACCTGGAGATCATGACCTGAGCAGAAGGCAGATGCTTAACCATCTGAGCCACCCAGGTGCCCCTTCACAGAACTTTTCAAATGTGTACCTGCTATCACATGTAAGCTCAAAACTGTCAAACATGTCATGAAAATACGGAAGCTCTCTCCCTCTCCCTCATGCTCCTTTCAAGCCTCATTCTAACAAATCAGGAAATGATTGGCACTTTAAGCTCTCATACAAGTAATGGAACATATTCTTCCCATCAAGTTGACTTGCACAGTGTTCTACATAGACCACAGTTAAGTACCCCTGTGCTTTCAGGAACTAAACACTAACGCTCGAAACTGGATTTTAAAAGGGGCTTTCAATACATATCTTTTTGCTAAGCAAGAAAACCTTCTCATACACCGAAACCAAACCAAAAAAGCTCCCTTAAATATCAAGTTGTATTACCTATCAGATATATAACATTCTGTCTTACTTTCAAAGTAGAGTTGTTTCACTTGTCTCCTAAATCAATCATTGTGCTGTGACCGAGTGGCTGAGCACTCAAAACACCAATTCAATTCAGAACAAACGAGCCCCGTGCTGGACCCTGGGGGGAACGTTAGGAGGCAGACAGCTGAGCTGGTCCCTGCCTTCTTGGATGTCACGATCTTTACATTTTTTCAAAGTGCTTTTTCATTTAGTATCTCAGGAGCACACTTAAAGCTTCCTAAGTCTCTGGCATGAAGGACTAGCAAAGGCCTTGCCATTTACAGGACATCCCAGAATGCCCCTGGCAGCAGAGGCGGTATAAAGAACTAGACCCGAAGACCTCTACTGAGTGACCCAAGACTGCTCACTCTCTATACAGATGGCATCTACTGGGCCTTGCCAGCTCTAGGATTCCGTGCTTTCACTTTTAAAAGCACAGAACTGAATAAAATCCAAAACCCAATTCACAACATATTCCAAGAAAACTGGGATATTAGTTGTTGGCTCATGATGCAAAGCAGTAGTCAAATAAAAGGGAATAATCATTTCAATGAGATGACATGCCTCGAAAGGGTTTACAACCGAGCCACGAGCATAGCACCAGATAGCCGAGGATCTGTGGGGCTCAAAGACCTGTGCAGAACTTTCCTCCTAACAGCCTGGGGTCAGCTGATAACTCCGTAACATCACTGTTCTTAACCACTTGGCCAGAACTTAGACCATTTCTAGATAACCATTTATTTTGATCCATCAGTGACTCCAACAACTACTTCTTGTTGCCATCTGATTCAGATGTAATTAAAGGACAGAAAAAATTACTACCTCATCTTGCCAACAAGAAAATTGAAACAGAAAAGGCAAATGACTCACAGGCGGCAGCTCACCAAATCTACAACAGAAATATGAGCATATCCTAAGTGGTAAGTTCCACCTGGTCTCCTTAGAGGCTGAGTCGTCAGGGGAGGGCCCCTGAGAAAGAGCCTTGTGGCAGAAGAGCCTCACAGCCCCCCTCGGCCTGATATGTGGGTCACGTGGCGATGCACCAAGCCTCGCTATAATAAATGAGTCCGAGTAAACACATCCTCGGTGCAACAATACCGAAGGGCTGATTTATGGAGACATCATTTCTATAACCCATCTCTAGAGAAACAACACCCATCGCTGCTGACCTCAAAATACCACAGTCTTTAAAACGAGTAAACAGGGGTGAGGCATGGAAGGAGAGAGGAGGTTTTGCAGTGGTTAAGGCTTGGCTTTGGCTTTTTTTTTTTTTTTTTTTGAGGCTCCAAGTTGTCAGCAGGGGCTGATGTGGTGCCTGGGGGTAAAAATTCACATATTCAGAGCCACCTTATCCTGTGCTGGGACTTACACCCCCGGGTGAAAGCAGAAATCCCTGTGCACAGTGCTGGTAGGCCCAAATCCGTAGGGCTTAGAACGACCAGTCTCCCCAGGGCAACACTGGGGCTGACCTGCAAGACGGGAGAGTCCACCTCTCCCCCGCCACAGCAGGTTCCCTTTCTATCACCTTCCGGTCTGTTCCTGAGAACATGGGACTTGACTCTCATAACATCGCAGTTCTCAGGGAGATAACGGAATGAAGAGGCTGAGCTACAACACTGTTCTAGGCCATCATCTTTGGGCTCAACGCGAATTCCAAGAAACCTAGATATGTGTAACATTTGCGAGTGATGCCTGGTGAGTTGTCCCTAAGCCCCGTTTTTATAATAAACAGTCAAAGGGTAAGAATGCGCTTTATCTTATTAACTCTGGGAGGACTGATATTTAAATACAAATTCTTCCTACTGACAAGGCAACAAACAGGACTTTAAAAAACTCTATTAGAACTGAAGTCACTTTCAAAGTCATCAATATTAGCAACCCAATTTTCCCTTGAGTACTGTAATATAACACTCTACTCCCATGGATTCTTTTATGCAAAAGGCAAAAACACTTCCTTAAAAGTAAATCCCTGTATTTCTAGGCCCCAAAGTGAAGACAGTAGCTGGGATCATACATAAGGCATTTAAGGTAGGTTGGATTAAAACAAAAACCAAAAGAAGGCAAGGTGGGCAGTGATGGAGAATTTCAGTTCAGGCCTAATGACCACACAATCATTTGGTTTGTGATAGAGTGTACTAGTTAGTCTTCATCTTTTATAAACTGGAGACAATAAAGCAAACATACCATATTCATAACCAAAACACAATTATAGGAGATTAGTTTTAAGAAATCACAGTGCTGGGCGCCTGGGTGGCTCAGTTGGTTAAGCGACTGCCTTCGGCTCAGGCCATGATCCTGGAGTCCCAGGATCGAGTCCCGCATCGGGCTCCCTGCTCAGCAGGGAGTCTTCTTCTCCCTCTGACCCTCCCCCCTGTCATGTGCTCTCTCTCTCTCATTCTCTCTCTCAAATAAATAAAATCTTAAAAAAAAAAAAAAAAGAAAGAAATCACAGTGCCTGGGCGCCTGGGTGGCTCAGTTGGTTAAGCAACTGCCTTCGGCTCAGGTCATGATCCTGGAGTCCCGGGATCGAGTTCCGCATCGGGCTCCCTGCTCAGCGAGGAGCCTGCTTCTCCCTCTGACCCTCCCCCCTCTCATGTACTCTCTCTCATTCTCACTCTCTCAAATAAATAAATAAATCTTTAAAAAAAAAGAAAAAAGAAATCACAGTGCCTGAGCAAAGGTCACATCTCCCAGATCTAGCTGTGAGAAGCACTGGAACAGATGAGCTCCAAGCCCCTTCGAACTCTTTCTGGGATTGGACATTACTCTATTCTATTATTATTCTATTTGGATTATAACCATCTGACACTTAATACCTGGAAAGGAAGTTTTCTTGCCAGAAGGTTTAGCCTGTTGTCTGCAAAATGATCATCTCACTGTATTTGGATCCCAACCTTGCCATTTGTTGGGTAATCTTGGCTCAGTGACCTAACTCTTCTTAGGCTTAAGGCTTTGTAATGATAAAATGGAGACGCCACTGTCCATCTCAGAGGGTTGCCCGGAGGACTGAATGCAAAGCACCTAGCATGTGTCTGTACCGACAGAGATGCTCAGTAAACAGTTATTATTACAGCTGAGTAAATGTTATTAACATTAAATCTCTGTCACCCACCATGCCAAAGCAAAATGTTAGGCAAAATGTTACCTCTGAAAACTAAGCAAAAGTTACAAAGGTTGTTAGAGGCACATCCTGTTCACAGAGGGTAAAATCTCTCACATTTCTCTTTCCTTTCACGGTGTGAAGATGTCTAGCTGGTAACACATCACATAAAGGGACACTAGGAGCAGACTCAGGCAAAACTAAAAAGTGTGAAAATTCTATCTATAAAGTTTTCTTCCTATCCAATCAAGCTGACAGAAGGACAGGTCTGAGTCCTCACAGGTCTCTTTAATAGGAACTATTTCCCCAGGAGGTTTTGGAAGCCTGATCACAAGGGAAGAACCACTCTTGGGACTTAGATGAAATAGGGTCTTTGATTTTTTTTTTTTTTTTGGTAAACCCCCATTAACTGTTACTCAGTATTCAACACTAATGTGTCTTTTTTCACAGAAGAAAGTACTGAATCTCTTACTTTACAAGTAATATCTAGACCATAGGAATTTTCTCCTCTACTTGTCGCGCCTCCCATTTTTTCAATTCTGGAGATCACACCCAGAGGAACATCAAGTATTAGAGCAGAATCCTGTAATGGACAAAAATGCAAAAGTCAGTATTTCTGCCAGTATCATTAAAACATAAAAACACTTTTAAAAAACCATATGCTTTAGGGCACTTTTACCTTGGCCCTTTTTGCCACTTTCTATGAACGAAAATATGATACAGATCACACATAAAAGAGCAAGCATTACAACAGCCAGTTAGGCAGCCAAAATGCATCCCCAAACATTTGCCATTCTGCAGTGCCTACAGAATAAAGACTAAACTCCTAGGGACACAATTCAAGGGCTCCGTGGTGTCACTTCCAGCTGGTCTCTGCAGGCTTTTCTTCCACACCAGTCTGCACTCCAAACTACATGAAAACCTTCACCATTCCTCAAGCATGATCTACAGTCAGGCCTCTGTGCTTTGTGCATAGTGTTCCCTTTGTCCAGGCTGATTTAGGTTTCCCCAACCACCAGATGTTTTCCCATGGCTTAAGCCCTGGCCCAACAAACGTCACCTCTAACAAAGCTCCGCTTCCTAAGTAGACAGAACCGAACTGACCACTCCTTCCTCTGAAGTTCTACAACGCTTGGTTCAGACTGCGGCTGCACCGCTTGTTTTACCCTGTCTGCCAGGAATGCGCAGGTCTATATTCCCCACACCAGAAACCAAACATCTGGAAGTAGCGCCTAGCTGAGGCCTGGGTGCGTCTCCCTCAGGAGATGGGCCTGGATGCACAGCGATGCCGCTCCATCATTCCTCATCCCAGTGCTGGGTGCAAGGGGGCCGTACAAGTGCCGGCGAGCCAGGATCGCATGCGTGATGTCACACCAGTCATCACGAGCTGTCAGCAGCCGCCACACACAGAGTCAGTCGTCTGTGCCAGGCGCTGCCGTGGGGGCTCTGCACGCCTCATCTTTCTGATTTTATCCTCCCAACCATTCCGGATGTTGGTGCAGTATTCCCGTTTCCTGACGCGGCAATCAAGGCTTTTGAAAGCTTCTGTAACTTCCTTGGTAAATATGGGGAAGGTCTGAGATGTGAGCCAAGGTCTGGGAACACACATCAAAAGAGCCAGACAAATGGTCCTACGCTTTTGCCTCCATAACTGCATTCTTAAGGGCTTATCTTATAGCTATTGCACAACAGGATGAACAGTTACATGTGTGAAGATGCTCTGTGGAGCCAGAGGGGGTCGTCAGGGTGGAGAAAATGACCGTTAGTCAACTTGAAGGACTGAGCACGCAGCTCCGAAAACAATTACAGTACATGGAAAAACAAGCTTAAGTGGAAAAAAGCAGCATACAAACTACACTGATTACAGTAATGTAAGATATATATTCATGTGGCCAAAGATAGGGAGGCCTACAGAAATTTAAGTCCAATATTTTCTTAAGTGCTGTGATTACTTTGATAATAAAGAAAATATTTTAAAGCTGTTTACTGAAGTTTTGTCCTTTAGAAGATGTTCCTTTTGGGGGATACAAATAAAGTTTAAGTTTTACCTGAAATCCTTCTCCTTTGTACAATACAAAAACAAAGCATTTCTTTATAGAATATAAACATAGCTCATGGGTATTCTAGAAATTCAAAAAGTATAAGAATGGGGTGCTTCCATGCCGTAGAATACTACTCAGCTGCAAAAAAACAAGGAACTATGGATGCACACAACGACACGGAAGGTTCTTAAAAGCATCATGCTGAGTAGTAGATAAGGCCAATTTCAAAAGATCACGTACTGCAGGGAGTCCATTTATGACACTTTTGAAGTGACAAAATTAGAGAGATGGAGAACAAAGAAATGGTTGCCAGGGGTGCGGGGAAGGAGAGTGTGACTACAAATGGGCAGCATCAGTTGCAGATCTTGATTGCTAGTACGTGGTTCCATGACTTTATCCATGGGATCAAATGTCACAGAATTTTATGCAGAAACCTATGAAAAAGTGAGTGCATGAAACACTGGTGAAGTTCAAGTACAGTCAGAGTCTTAGTGAACTGTATCGTGCCACAAAACTCCTGGTTTTGATCAAGCAATACAGTTATTGGAGAAGCTAGGTAATGCACTAGTTTTCCAAGTTCTTGAGCGTTCATAATTATTTCAAAATAAAAAGCTAAAGAAAGCGTAAGAGCACGGTTATCATGGTGTAGACAAAAGACTGCAAGCTCTTACATTGGACAAAATTGGTTCAAATGGAGTTTTGACATTTATTAGCTGGATAACTTGCACAGGTTACTGCACCTCTCAGCCACATTTACCTGTAAAGTAGGGATGATTAAAGATCATGGACTTAAGCACCTGGCATGGTGCCTGTCACGCGGTAGCTAGGAAACAATGGAATTTATTATTATTATCACAAAGAATATCTTAGTATTTGGAAGACGTAACTGTGCTCTACAAATGTAGCGGATCTTGCAAGCAGCCACATACAGGTCTTTTTTTAGTTGTTGCCATGGGGTGAGACACCTCACATGACTAAAATCCAAATGCCTAGAGGAAAAAAAAGACACTACTCAGTAACTGTGTACATTCCCAGCTGCATATTATAACATGTTTACTTCTCAATACAGTCTAGTTATTAAAAACACACCATCAGGGAAGCTGTTCTGTTTGGATTGAGATTTAGGAGTGTCCAAGTGTATTCCTAAATGTCAAACTTATACCTAAAAACACATAGATTAGACACTAAATAAAAGTCTGATGCTCTAAGATCAACATGGAAGCAAGAATGTAAACAAAACAGATGAGATCTTACTGTTCTTTGTCCTTGTATAGAGGAAATTCTATAGCTCTGATTACCCTGATCCAACACAAAACAGAAAATGGGACAACTGAGGAGAACCAGCCAGTTCCTGACCATAGGTGCCCAGTTTAATGAGGCTACTTGCCATGTTCTCCCCGAATGACAGGTTCAAGATCAGATAACCCAGCAGGCCAAACTGGAAGATCCAGAAATAGGAAAATTAACTCTGTAGAAACCTGAGCTGTTACTATCTGAATATTATTAAATATTTAAGAATTCTCAAAGGTCCATTCTAACTCAAAATTCTGTACCTCTAAGGATCTAAAATAGTTGAGAAGTAAACAGAACAATCTAAAAAAGATGCATTCATTTACCATCTCTCTCTTGAGTGCATACTGAGTAGCAGAAACCGTACTGGACGCTAGGAACCACAGAGATAAATAAGATGCAAGTGTTGCCCTGATGGGAGATAGGACACATGTGCCCAAAGAGCCACAATGCCATCACAGCAAGACAAAACCCACGTCCAGACTGATGGGATGAGAGGTCAGAGGAGGGCAGAACAATTTCCTATTGACTGGGTCTCATGAAGGTTCTGTGCAATGGCAATGTTAAAGATGATCCTTACAGAATGGAATAACAGCAGATGTAGATTTACCTTCCAGAAACAAGTTAACAGTGACATCAGCTACACGTGTGGAAAAGTATGGGGATTTTATATATGAAAAACAAAACAAAACACAAGTGGATCAGGTTTAAAACAGGACGGCAGGGGAATTCCCCGGGGAGCACCCCAGGGCTTGGATCAGGGTGACTGGGATCCATGGAATGTGTTTCCAGAAGAGGAGCACAAGGACAGAGCGGTGCTTTTTTAAGATTCCTTTGGCAGTCCTGAGCACTGTGCGGTAGCAAGGAAGGGACTATGCCCATTCCTTGGGACTCTGGAAGCTAATGATTTAGGGCAAGCTGAGAGGGTAGGAGAACCCGAGAGTGGAGTGACCTAGGTGGGAAGCAAAAGGAGGAGAAAATGAGCCACTGGGGAAGCATCGGCAATGACTCCGATTTAGACCCAGACAAGAGATGTGAAGAACCCAGAAAGGGGTTTTGGAGAAAGATTAACACTGTCACTTTGAGATACACAGGCTTGGAGGTTATGATAAATTAATCAAGTACAGATAAGCAGGAGGCAGCTGGAATTACAGAACTGGGAGAGATTCCAAAGGCCCCTCAAACTCAAAATGTCCAGAACGAACCACATGATGTTTCTCTCTCCAAATTCCGTCTTCCTATCTCAGTGGCTGGTGCTCCATCTGCCCAGTTACAAAAGCGGGAAACCTAGGAGTCCTCCTTGACGTCCCCTTCTCTGTTATCCCTCATCCAATCTTGCACATTTACCTCTTACATCAATCTTGAACCTGTCAAGCCCTCTCCAACTTCTCTGGACCACTGGAACAAGCATAGCGGTCTCTTTGATTGGACTGTTGCTCCCCCAGAGCCTGCCCTCCACACAGCAGCATAGGTGATCGCTGACAAAAGTCAATCTGATGCTATCATTCCTTTGCTTAAATCATGTCCAAAACTTCTCACTGCTCAACTCCAAACACCTCCATCCTGAACAGGGACTACAAGGCCTTAGTCATCTGGCCCCACCCTCCTCTCCCTCCTGCCATTCCTCGCCTTTCTCCTGGCCCCAACGCAGCCACGACTGGCTCATCCTTTCATGTTCCCCTTGGTCTCAGTGCCTCTCGCTGTTCCCTCAGCTGATTCTCCCCACCCAGCCCCTGCCAAGCATCCAGGTAATTCTTATTCATTCTTCAGACCAGGGGTCAAACATCATTTTCTCAGGACAATTTCCCAGGCTCCTCAAACAGCTACACTCCTGTACCACTTGCTCCTGGGTTACTCACGCTCGGCACAACTTGCTGTTATATACCCGGCATGATTATCTGATCAGTGTCTGTCGGTCCCATCAGAACGAAAGCTTCATGAGGGAGAGACCATGTCTGCCATGCACACCACTAGATCCGAGTGCCTGGCACGGTGCTCGGCACACGGCGGCCTCTCAAATGGTCAACGAATAAAGAATGAAATGAAGTCTGGTAAAGAAGGGGAAGAAAGAGGATGGTACTCTTGGGGAGGGGGGTAGCAGGGATCCAAGACACAGAGACTTGAGCAGGTCTACAGGGCGGGGTGGGGACAAAAGAGCCAATGGAAATCACAGATGGAAGACGCAGAATGACCGAAGGGGCACTAAGGCTCTGAAGGAAGTAAAGAGGAAAGGAGACAAGGCTCAAGTAGA